TATTACACATTAGCAAAAATCCAACTTCTCTGTCCTCATGTAAAAAAAACACATGTACAAAATGTGTATCCTGATGTAAAATCACTGAAACTGTTTGAAGTGCTTTAACTTAAATTAATTGTGTTTTTCTAACTTTTATTTAATGGCTTATATCATGCGATTGGAACTTCACAGTGGAGTGAAGAGGATTAAAGTGATTCCAGTGTAAATCAACAATAAAGTGAATGGCATTAAAGTGTGCGGGAGGGCAGAGATGGAACTCTGTAGAATCACATGAAAAGGGTTGGATTTAATTGATTAAATTACAGCTCTGGCACCATGTTAACAATTGTATCACTGTCCTGCCTGAAAATTAACCACAGTCAGACATCTTATTCTGCCTCTATCAGGTTGTTTTTCTGGTTTGTCCTGTAATTTGCTCCCATTCTTGAAAGTTTCCCTTGAAAGAATGAATAACTTCCTTGTCACAATTTAGAAAGAGAATAAGCACACATAAGAATTCTACCATAAAGATTCAATCCTGGGAAGGTTTGTTCAGGTTGAAGTGGGTTTTCAGTTTTCTAATGAGTACAGGTAATAAGTATGTGGAAAACATGTCCTCTGAATTTAACCCATTCCTTGGGAAATGGTGCCCTGCTACACTGAGTAGCTCCTGGCGAACATTCTGGTGTTAAGGGTCACACTCAAGTGGCTAGACTGACATTTTGAGTTTTGATGTAGAGATCTTCCAGCCTTCCCAGGAATCAGATACCTTGCTCCTTAGCCACTGGACCAGAACTCACACCATCTAAGTCCAAACGCTCAGATGTATTCTCACCTGAATAGAATGACTTAATGCGGTGTCGGGTTCATAAAATGTAGGTTTTTGCAAAAGAAGAACTGAAATACACAATTATGGATACAAGGAGGAGAGACAGTTGAACCCCAGACTCAAACGCACTGTCTCCCACTGGTCCTCCTCCGCAGAGCATTTTATTAGCAGAACATGAAACATGGTTACAAACAGAGTATTGTTCTGACAGAAGAATTGATCAGTTCATGAAGACAGAATGCTCCATCAGAATGACAAGGCAGGATGGTCTCCTGACTGAATCATGAGACAGGAGTGGAGCATCCCCTTGCAAAAATGTTTCATAAGCACACTTCAATTTTATAATCATTATTGAATAAACCTAACATGCGGCCAGAGATGGGAAGTAACGAAGTACAAATACTTCGTTACTGTACTCAAGTAGATTTTTCTGATATTTTTACTTTACTATACTACTTATTTTTATGGCGACTTTTTACTTCTACTCCTTACATTTTTACACAAATATCTGTACTTTCTACTCCTTACATTTTAAAAAATTGTCTCGTTACTTTAGTTTTGAATCATTTCAATGGAGTTACCGTTATTATTTTTCACGTCATCAATACCAAATTCAATCTAATTGGATGGGAATCTACGTTGCATTTGACGCACCACTACAAGATGAATCGACAGATTTGGCGGTATTCATTGGCGGCAAATCATTGCAGCTTGGTGGCGGTGGTGTTAGCATAGTAGTATGGATGACGAGATGATTGAAAATGAACACAACGGAGATCTAGTCCTATTGGCAGACATCCATTTAAAATGTAGGCAACGGCATGAAAAAAGTGGTTTCTACTTTTACTTTTATACTTTAAGTAAATTTACAAGCCTGTACTTTGTTACTTTTACTTGAGTAAAGAAGTTTAATCAGTACTTCCACTTTTACCAGAGTATTTTTTAACACAAGTATCTGTACTTTTACTCAAGTACGGAAAGTGAGTACTTTTGCCATCTCTGCATGCGGCACATGACTCAACACAGGAGGACCAACTCCTCAGTACAGGGCTCAGCTGGTCATCTACACCCGAAGGGTAAAGGAGACTTGTTTTGAGGACAACAACGTCCATATTCTGGCCAAGGAAGAAAGATACTTTAAGAGGGGGGTTAAGGAAGCCATCTTTTGTTAACCTGGAAAAAAATCTCTTCAAAGAGAAGGTGGTCTTAGACATAACCATTCACTACTGTTAGGAATCCAGTTTGTGTGGGTTGTGTTTTTGTTTGTTTTCCCTCCACCACCAGGTGGTGCCTGGTTCTCGTTGGCCTTCTCACACACCTGTGAATGGTTGCCTCATTACCGGAGGACTCTTAAGCTGCTGACTGCCACTACCTCGATGCCACAGTGTTTGCCAGTTTTGGGTACTCTAGCCAAGCTGAGTTTTGTTGAGTCAAACTGAGTTTTTTGTCACCTGACTCTTAACCTTGTTGTTTTTGTCTTCCTGCAAACTGGATTTTTTGGACCTTCTCCCCCTGGAAGGATTGTCTGAGCGTCAAACTGAGCTGAGGATTCAAACAGGTGGTTTGGATCAACTTTTCCCCAAGGATTGTTTGGGCTTCACACTGAGTAGGGGATTCATCTCCACAAGAAACCGTTCAAGTACCATAGGAGATCTAAGTGGCAGTCAGCTCCTCCGGTTCTCAAGGACACACCTCAACCTGGGTAAACCCTCTCCGCCCTCCAATGAGCAAGTCTATTACTGGAACAACCAACACCGACCGGATTCAAAGAAAGACACCTTTTCTGGAAACGTGAGTCCTGTTGCCTTTATTCCCTTTTACAAATTTCCCTCTGAGCCTGAACTAACCGCAGGATCTCCCCTTCACTTTTCAGACCCGGTTCGCCAGTGTTCAGAGCAGCACTGGACACTTCTCTACCAGTTCATATTAAACCTGTTAAACCTTCCCCTGGTCTCTCTGTTTGGTTTTCTGCATGTGGGTCAGATCTTTGGATAAAACCATGACAACTACTCACAAAGCGCATTTAGGAACAATACCCAGAAAATTTACCTCTCATCCCCCCTCACTTGACCCGCACTTCCATGAGGGATGTGAGCGAAACCACTCTAACGAGGGAGTTTACAACCTATCAGAACTCCCGAATGACCATTAACACCCCCAAGTGACTTCCCTGGCCAATCCAGGAGGAGGGATCAGAGTCACCTTTTATCACCCCGAATTCTTTGTTAGACCTACAGTATATTAACGTCCAGTTACCTAAACTGAACTTTTCAAGCTTGACCATGACCTGGATGACTACGATATCTTACCTTCATACATGTTTTCAGTATGTCAATGGCTTATGAACAGAACTTATATGTCTCTTCTTCAATGGTGGCTTACTTCTCACAATCCGTAATTGAGGGCAGATTTTGGAGGACAAAACTAATATTTTTTCTGGCAAATATGATCCTATCTAAGCTGTGGATCCCTGTAGCAACTCCAAAGTCACTGTGATAAATGCTCTGATTAATATACTACCCTCAGTTTAGGGACTCGTCTGTTTTCTTGAAATTATCATTCTAACAGTCCTCTGTGATATGATCAAAAACCTTTTTTGCAATGTAAAACTTCTACACAACCCTAATCCAAGCCAATTTGTTGTGTGCCTTTCTTTCTCTTTGTTGAACAGTTTTTGGTAGCAAGCGGTAAGCCCTTCACAGATCAGTTATACAGTATCAACATACATGTTCAGTCTAATTACTAACCTTGATGCAATCTGTTTCTGTGATTTTATCTAGGAATGACAGAAAATGGATGGATGGATGGATGGATGGATGGATGGATGGATGGATGGATGGATGGATGGATGGATATCAGGGTTATATGGATGGAAAACAAACGCATGCCATCTTAATTTATATTGGATATAAAAGTGGTACATTTTTCTTTAAATGTTAGAGCAGCTCTGCATTTCTATAAATATGTTTTGTAAGTCAACAAGTAGCATTAGTTGGGAAGAAAACAAGATAAAGCATTTCCTGAGGCCAGTTAGGCAAGAGTTGGTTAGTTTAGGTGTTTGGTGGACATTTTGAAGGCAGACTAACAGGTATTTAAGGGTCAGAATTCTCGCTGATATAAAAATCATATATTGTGATTTCTGGGTTTTTTTAAGATTATGTCTCTCACAGTGGACATGCGCCTGCGATGACAATTTCTGACCCATCCATGATTTCTAAGAACTTGCTAAATAGCAGGGTATTCAGATACTTACTTTCCTACCTGTAAATCAAAGACCCCCAGACATAATAGTACTGGAAAAAAAGAAAGCAGCCAGAGGCTCGTGTGAACTGTAACAAAAGAGGAGTTGAGCCCCGTGAGAGTTTTACACCTTTGTAAAGCTGTAAGCAACATCCAGGAAATAGTTTGCATTTTTTCTTGTTTTATTTTTTTTCTGATAAATATCAGAATATATGAAGCAGTATAAATTAGATATGAGAAAGCCTTGGGGCTAAGCTGTTATGAACAAAAAAATTCCCCAAACACAGTTAGAGGAAAATTCCTGAGTGCCTCAAGTGTCTAAGAGAGAGAAAAGAAAAGGGCTTCTCTGACTTTTCTCCCTTTTTCCTGACAGGCACTGGTCTTTTGAAATGGTGCCAATGAAGGCTGGCTTAAATCCTTGCAGCTGAGAGTTTTACAAGCTCAGTGCCTGCAAACAGGAAGAGAAAGACACTGTGAGATTAGCAAAAGGGACCTTGTTGCTGTTCTTGTTTTCCCTCTTCGGAGATGTCTGAGATGCAAAAGCACTTGTACCTTATCTTTCTGCAATAAAAAAACTTCAGGAAAGAGAACCGTGAAGAATGAAAATGATTCCTAAGTAAAATAAAATAAAAAAAACTGCCTAAAGCACAAAGAGTTGTGACGTCACACAGAGAGCTGTCTAGGATATTGCCTGATAAAAGATACCGATGTTAATATTTAAGGCTTAAACTATCAATGAAGCTATAGTGATGCTTTTGGATATGTACCTTTTCAGAGATCAACCCTCATCCTTGCTCTATTGTCCTTGTAGAGTGTTTGTTTTTGCTTGAGTATGTTTAGTAGTAAAATTCAGACATATATTAACCACTCATTTTCTGGCATAAATACTGGCAAAAAAATCTCAGGGATGATCATTCTCCTCTTTTTCTGTAGAATTTCTGCATATAAACAAAGGCAGGTGCAGACCAACTGAAGACGTCTGGAGCAACCACTGAAAATGGGAACTGTGAGGCATGTACTACCTGGGAATGATGCCAACTGCTGACAAAAGGCTTTACTGCACGTCTTTGAGAGAAGCCTTTAACTCACTGGCTTCAGGACAACTCAGCACAGAGCTGTTTGGCCAGCAGCAGATAAATCTGTCAACCCTTTTAGCTTTGTTACCAGACAGAATGTAAGTACTCATTTTTCTAATTTCTTTTGTCAATAGAAGCTCTGTTTTTTTTCTCATTTAGTAAAGTGAGATGTTTTCTTTACAACACATAATCTACATCTCACATGGCTGTTGCACTTGAGTTTAATTAGTCAACTGTAACTCTGAGTCAAAGCTAAATCTACTATATGCTCACAGCATAATCAACATGGCTCCTTGTAAGTTTGAGGGATTTACGTGTGAAAACGAGATTTTCTGACAGATTTCTTTTCCTGCCTTCTTCTCTGTGCTTCTTGGCAATCGGGTAAAAGTGGGCAGGGAGGAAAGAGGGCATGGCCCAAAAGCTGCTCTCAAGCTCCAGCCCCTGTTCAAGTGGGGTTGCTGGCTTACACACTGCTCAGCCTTTCCCTCGTTCCCCAGGTAAAAGAAAGAGGTGTGGATTGCATTTTTTCCTCGCTTTCTGCTGAGATATTTTTGTTTTTTCTTTCATCAACACCTTTTTATATTGCCAATATGCGATCGCTAGCCTGAAACTGACATAGAAAGACATGAGGTATTGCTAATTTCTTATTTTGATTCTGTTCGGGCCTTCCCAGTCTTTTTGTATCGAGTTCTTTCTTCATCTATGGCTGTTGATGTTTAACAAATTCTTTGGCTTTATCTTTTACATAGATTAGATCTCTTGTTTTCTAGGAAGAGACACAAAAATCTGAATAGAATACATTTTATTTTTAAAACCAATTTTTAGAAAAACAAACACCTTGTTTTGTCTTGTTTAACTACATTGTAATTGGCCAAAAATTTTTTTAAAACTTTGTATATGTACACAAAACTATTTTGATTTTATTTTGGCACTTTTAGAAATAAGATACAGATAAATAAATCTTGTTGCTCTCCTGTATCATAAAAAATATTTTGATGTTATCAATAAATCACATAATCCAAACAAATAAATAGTGACATTACCTCAATGTATCAAACACGACACTCTCAATGAGAAAAGGTGTTTGAGTTCATAAAATCTTCAATAAGGGGCAACATAAAGTTAACTATTACCACTATACAAAAATTATCTGCAACGGAAAAAGCCTTTTTAGAAAAATGTGGCTTACCATATCTTTAAGCAATTTGTATTATTGCTTAAAATGGTTTTAGATGCTCATGTCTCATAAACCTGTTTTAAAAACCAGTGCAGACCAGATTTTACTGCGGATACTGTTCTGCTCATGAAGGGACTTGTGTTACCAGGATTAGGAATCTGTACTTCCGATCAAATAGGTTTGAACTGTTTGGACTGCTTTTATAATAACTGAAGCAGAACAACCTACATATTCAACACATTGAATCTACAGGAAAGAACTGCCTTTTCTTCTCCCTTTATGAACCACTTAGTTTCTTTTTAGTGTAACTGGAGCATTTACATTCTATTTGCCAATGTTTGCATGCTATTTTATCTAGAACTAGCCAGATAGAGTGTTGCCTTATATTTGAATGGATGATACACATTTATTCATACAGTAATGCACAGAAAAGATGAATAAAGAAAAATAAAGTGGGCGTGAGCAGAGAAGAAAAAAAACAATTTCTTCCTCCTCTCAAGTTCTCCTTAGATGAACTTGCCATATAGCCTGATGACATGTTGTTTGGAAAACCACATCTTCCGCAATTTGTCTCGGTCTCCTCCCCATGGCTGGCGTGACTCTGTGGTCGTCAGGATCAAAGTCTCATTTTGCCTTTTTGCTTTCATCAGGTCTGACTGCACACACTTAATCAGCTCTTCCTGTTCGCAAAACTGTTTCAGGACCTATAAACAGCACTTGATCAAACTCTTTGGAGTACAGCCGTCTTACAAAAGACTACCAAGAAAAACCATTAAGGAAAAGCAGTGAGAGGTCTCTTTAAACAGACTGTAAATACTCTGTCAGTGTTTTACAATCTGTCTTTATCTTTGTGACAAGTTGTCGTTTAAATGGCTGAATCAAAGCTGACAGTGGTTTACCAAACAAACTTTAAAATTGCCTTATGATGATCAATGCTGTCGCACTGATTTCAACTAACACATCAGCAAACACTTCAAAATTCACGCAGACTTTGAAAATCTGCATCTCTAGAAAGAAATGTTGATAAAGAAATATCACAAAGAACCTTTAATAGTAGGAACTGAAAATGAGCTCAAATTCATTATTTTTGTTTCGATAAAAACAAATAACAGAACCATCACAGACTGTCATACGTTTCTACATTACAACTAAATAATCTTTTCATTGTACACTATACAAGCCTTGGCAGTGGTCTAAAATCTAAATTTAATCAGCCCAAGAATATTTTATCATGTCAGCAGTGGACCTGCCTATTGTGTAGGCTATTCTAAAGTTAGTGTTGAAAGGTCATTTACAGTGAAGTGTGCTAAAAGTATTCATCAGCAAATTTTACTATGGCAAGAGAGCAAGTTGTGTATAGTTGTTTTTAGAAATATGTTTAAAGAGATTCGAGGATCAACTGTTTTGTTTTATGTCTACAAAACCTCATCTCTGTGTAGCATAACTACAGTTGAAAATTGTAATCACACATTGCCAAAATGTAAGCATTTCGTGGGGGGCAGTAAAAAATGGCAGCTTTTATACCTTTAGTTACTGTGTTTAAAGCTACATTATATTGAAACAATGTAACCATTATAGTGTCTGAGGTGTTTTAAGCAGATCATGTTTACGGATCTGAACAAAATTTTTTCTTGCATGACAGGTACAGATAAGAATATGTGGAAACACCAATTTTAAGAAATAGAATTGTAATGACCCATAACAAAGGGACCCAGTATTCAGGCAAAAAAAAAGAGAGTGGGATAAATTAAAAAACGTTTATTAAAGCAACGGTGGATGGTTTGTGGATCTGCAAGAGCAGTGGCTAGGGTGTACAAGGCAGGTAACTCTGGCAAGAGGAAACACAGGTTAGTGACCACGGAAAACCTGATGGAGGATGATCTGAACGTGTAAGTCACTAACCTGGTTTGGACTTCAGTCATTGCCAAGAGAATGAGGTTGATACCAACAGGTTAGCTAACAAGATGCAGCGCTTGCCACAAAGAGAGTTCCAGAAGCTGAAGCCTTGAAGGACATGGAACTAAGAAGAGATCAGGGCCGAGCAGATGACAGAGGAAGACAGAATAATCCAGTGGGCCAAGTCAAGAGGCAGATCCAGGTTCAGTCCACAGTAGAATCCAACAGAATCTGAAGACAGGTCAGGCAAACAGATCAGAACTGGGGCAGACAGGCTCAAAGGTCCAAATATAGAAACAGATCAGGATCAGGCAATCAGAACATTATAAGTAAAGCTAGAAAACACTCACACCAAAGGCTCAAAAATAATCTGGCACTGATGGCTGGGACCAAGCAGTTTAAATAGAAGCAGGAGCAGGTGGATCAGATGAGCAATGATGAGAAACTGGGCATGGTTAGACAGGTGAATGAAATGATCAAATAAAACCAGCCATTAGTGCCAAGACCATGACAAAAATGTCATAATATATTCATAGCTGGAGTTTAATCTTTTAAATATTGAGAGGACAGCGATGAAATGTTAGCTACACATTGACATTAGCATTTTTATATTCAGAGAAGGCGAAGGTGACATAAAAGTAAAAGGCCCTGCACTTCAAGGAGATGTTAATGAGTGTATGGTTATAAAACTAGATAGAGAGGAACAAACTTTTATAAACTGCAAAATGGCTTCTACAAAACTATGCTAACTTATTATTAGCCTTAGAAATAAACCACTTAGCTGCTCCTAGAATCAAATCGTACAAACAGTAACACATTTATTGGACTGATAAATAAAAATATGCAAGCAATATATGATCTTTACCTTTACTTATTGGAGCAATAAATGGCAAATTTCGCTTCTTTGTCCTTAAGAAGAAGCGTGGTCTTGTTATATCACCTTTTAATCCCTTAGCAGATCAGTGCCTTAGCTTGCAGATGTCCAAACATCTGTCAGTGCAGATAGTACTATGCCTTACTGTATGCCACTGTATCTATTTCCTGAAGTGATCTTTCATAGTTTATGTGCTATCTTTCTCCATCCTCCTTATGCTATGGAATAAGGCTTTTCAAATCGGATAATATCAACCAGAATACTTCAGCTTGGCAGTCAGACGACATCGGTTTTTCACACAGTGGAGGAAACAAATCAAAAGCAAATCAAGCCCTTTTGCACTGTGAGGTGTATCTTAGTGGGTCAATTTATTTGAAATATTAGGTAAAAAACAAACAAACAACAACAACAAAAAATAAACAAAGCAAGAAAAAGACTGTAAAGAAGGAGTAGCTCGATCTAAAATTATTATATTTCCTGCTCCATTTGCATTACTATATATGATTTTCCTAAGTCATTTACCTATCATACCAAGTAAAACATGAACAGTGTCGTTTTAGATATTAATTAAGGACCGATTTGTAATTGTCTCTACAGTTAATCCAAGACTATTTGGTGTATCACACCAGAATGTCTATATGTACCTTGGCTTTGATCTACAATGTCACCAAAAATTCACACCGACTACAGCAATTTGGATCCTAGAAAGCGATCAATAGTTTCCAAATTTGAGTGGCTACAGACCTTAACATAAAGACAGAAAAATGTATGAATAAATCTTGAGAAACACACATCTTTATATCAAAGAGTGAGATGCATTATATTGCCCGCAGTATGCTACCATATCTGTTACATTTTATCTCTAATATAGAATTATGCTGAAAAATAAGCAGTTTATTTAAATGCATATTGTCATACCAAAATCATTTTTGTTATTCACTTTAATGTTTTTTTTTTTTTTTGTATTTGTTTTTTTTTATTTCAGACACTGGAAAATCCCATACACTTTTGTTCATAATTAATTTAATTGAAATATCTTGCCCTCATCTTTTTTTCAGCCCCGATGAGCAAACCCTGCTTCTGCAGCCACACAGGCTGCCAAAACATTTCAATCTCTGATGGCATTAATTGGGTCAGAAGGAATTCAGAATGTAAATGAAAAGCCCAGCTGCTTTTCAGCTAACATGGGTCATATGTTAATTTATGCAAATTGTTTCAGCCTTTGCATGGTTTTACTATTGCCTTTTACTATAACAGTGTCTGGCCTTGGTCATCTCTCTCAAAGCATGGCTCCGTCTAGACATGGGCACTTACCCAGCTTGTGTCCCAGGTTCTAGCTGGCACAGAAAACAGACTTCTTTTCAACGGTTTTGAAGTGGCTTTCATTCTGCATTAAAAAAAGGCAGCTTTTATACCTTTAGTTCCTGTGTTTAAAGCTACATTATATTGAAACAATGTGACCAGCATAGTGTCTAAGGTGAATTAAAAACAAGCAACTCCTTTGACAAACCTTTAACATTGCTTCAGCTGCACCATAACTTTCTGAGCAAAAATGATAGAGCTTACAGGCAAGTGTAAGCAGTTTGAATGCTGCACCACAGATGTTGAGTACAGCTGCCAAACAACTCCCTAAAAGGGAAAATGCACTTTTAAAGGTATAGTTTGTTTCCTTTTCTAACTTTCAAGAGTTACATTTATATAATACACTTAAATAAAAAGTGATACCTTTCTGGAAAAATAAGAAAATATCTAAAACTATCATTTAGAATTTTTTTTCTTTCTAAATGCTTTGAACATTTTTTCCATGTTGTATGGACTGAAACAGATTTTTTTGATGGGAGAGTTAATAACTTGTGGACCATGACACAGGAATCTCTTAGCCAACATTTTACTTATATACAACTAAGCAACAAGTCAGTCATCTTTTTCCAATAATTCACTACTGGCCGTTCCAAACCCAGCCCCATTCAGGTTTAATTCCACGCCTGTTGAAAATGTTAACTTAACCTTTTGATGAACTCATTTTCCAAGGCATCAGCACAATATTACAATGCAAACAAAAAGAGCCAGCCTTTAATTTAAGTACACTTGATCTATGAAGAAAAAAATACTCCCTAGAGCAGTGTTTCCCAACCTTTTTTGACTTGAGTACTGCTTTGGGCATTTTGTCTTATCATGAGTACCCCTCTCAGTCAAAAGTATTGATGATTGTCCAAAAGTAGAACATACAGTAAATGATGATAAAATAAAAACTATTTTTTTTTTATCTTTTAATTTTAGCATTTAATTCTTATACATTTTATCATGTCCATCTCAAATAAAAAACAACATAAATATGTTAACTGGAAGTTAGTAAGGAATCAAACTAAATCCAAAATAAAATCATAATATTATTTTAAAAACAGGTGCTCCTCTGAGTAAATCCCTGATAATCACATTTAAACTTGATTAATTGGGAACAAAAAATATAGTCAGACTGAATTAATTAGTTTTACTTTGTTTTCATCAAGACTCCTGAGCTGCTTTGATGGGTTGCGGTACCCCATTGTGAAAAACAGCTGATACCAGGCTGCTCTCTACATCTAATCTGCTTCTCTGCTTGGTTTTATGTGTCAAAGGTGAAGGCGAACTCAAACATAGAAAGAAAAACTTACTTTTTGATTGATTTGGTCCTCAGAAAGCAAAACAGATCCCAGCACTATTTTATTTTACTAGCAAATAAATAAAATATTTTCATGTACCCCTTGCAATGCACTCTCTGACTACTGGTACGAGTACCTCCGGTTAGGAATCACTGCCCTAAAAAACAAATGTTTTCTGTAAAGTTGTGTCATTCTGGCACCTCTATCCTAGAACCTCCTTTTGCAAGCCGAGGTGACATGATTCTTCCATCATTTTTTTTTTTGTGGGATAATTATCCAAAATGTTCAAACTGGGGAGTGGTGGCCTAGTGGTTAAGACATAGAGCTTGGAATCCTGAGGTTCTGAGTCCAAGCCCCACTCCCACAGACTGCCACTCTGGGTGTCTGAGCAAGACCCTCAACCCCACACTTCTCCCCGGGCGCCCCACGATGGCAGCTCACTGAGATCAAAAAAGTTCAATATTATTACAACTCAACACAGAAGCAGTGGACTCTTCCCTTCAGATCTACACATTTGCTTTCTAAACATTTTCATTCTGAAGACTAAAATGGCCAAGGAGGAGCGCTACTTCTATGTCTGGTAAAACATATCTGTTTTATTTGACCTTATTATGTGGCAAGATCAATTTGGTTCCTCCTCCAATCAGATTTCCCACAGTTTTTTTTTTTCAAACTTTTCTATCACTTTGGCTATACATATAAACAAGTTCTTCCCAGTAGCAATCTTCTTGTAGACTGTTATCTTTTCTCTTAAGTTTCCTATGCTGAAGACCAACAAAGCGAAATGTGCCTCTTTGCGACTTAAGACCAATGACACAGATAAAACAAACAGACCTGGATAACTAACCAAAACTAGACCCTCTGATCTGTAGGCTACCTCATTTCTGAAGATTTATTTTAAGGGGTTTTGAATATTCTTAGCAAGTCCCTAAATAAGCAGGTATTTATTTAGGTATATTCATAAATGTAGTTTAACAGTATTTGTTTGTGTTTGCTACCTTTTCAAAGGCCCTGTGAAAAGAGCAGTACTTTAAAATGTTACATTGATAAGTTTGAAGATGTTTAATTTCAAATGCTTTGATGCCATAAAACTATTATTAGAAACAAAATTTGGAAAAGTTAAATATTATGGCCGTAGAATAATTTTTTCTTTTTCTCTTTTTTCAATAGGTTCGCCAGATTTCCTCACCTACCTGCAAATCTATCTGTCCTTAAGGCTGAGGTAGTAGATTGAATAGTTGTGGGGTTAATGTCCTCCTTTTGAGAGAACTATACAATCTACTGTCTTTCCAAAGGAAACAGAATGAGCTGCTGTCAAATTGGAGCCTCTTCAGTTAAGGAATTCAGCAAAAAAAGAAATAAATTCTCAATCCAAAGGCATCCATTTAACACCACACAATAGGAAGTATAACTATGTCATTAACCAGCTGCTATGCAAAGAAGCTGATTTACACTATTTGTATTGCTTAAGCAAGAACCTGTTTCACAAATAACATGAATATGTGCTTGAAGTTGAGCCTAGCAAGGTGAGGTAGTAGGTTGTATAGTTTGTGGGATGGATCAAATCCTACTCAGGTGATAACTATACAGTCTCTTACCTTCCTTGACAGGTACAATGAGTGCTTGGAATCCCTCTCTTCTGCAAACCCACAAAGTGACAAAGCCTCTTTAATGCCACCGTGTGGCTAAAAACTCATGTCTACATTTGAAAAACTGCAAGTTGTATCTGGAGATCTGAAGCTAAATGCAACACTTTTTAGGTTTAATATGTATATGTATATTGCTGACTTGTTTATATTTGATTCTCTTTAAAAAATATATATATAATTTTGGAAAATTATTTTCTTAAATGCTACTTATTGGGCAGTCTAATGTGAAGAAGGGGATATGTTTTGTTTGTATCATTCATGATCTTGGAGAATACTAAATAACACAATGTTACGTTCATTTTTTTAAACATATCATGTAACTGAATTAAATATTAAAATATCACAGCCTAAACTACAAGTAATTAAGTATTTTTGTCACTTTAAATGCTTTGTTTTAAATGCGGTTTTCAATTTTAAAACAAAAATTGGAAACAATCTATGAAAAGAGGATAGAAAAACATGCTTTTTTGTTTTGATTCTGTTTGGTGAATTTCTATGTTACCTTCAAGGATGGCCAATGTCCTCAGTGCTTTTAGTCTGCCTTTATCAGGACGGGCCTGAGGCATAAGCAAACTTTATGGCTGCTTAGAGTTCCATATTGGCAATGGAACCTGAAGAGAACCAAATTAAAACCTGAAAAGAACCAAAATAAACAGTGAAATATTTCACTACATGTCCACATATTTGAAAGTTATCATAATCAGCAGTTGTGTTGTTACGATAATTTTTTATTTCTGTGATTGGATGTCCTCTGGACTCAGTGCAGGAGGTGGGAAACAAAAAGGATCCTTACAGTATATTAACATCTTTGATGGATAATGCATGAAGCTGGTGCTGAACTGGAAAGCTCCTTCAGTGACAGACTGCTGCACCCTAAATGCATCAGGGAGCATTATCACAGATCCTTCCTCCCAGCAGCTGTAAGACTTTATAACCACCACTGCTCCCAAAATCCTAAATAAATTTTTACATTCATGCTGATTTTTGCACATCTCTGATGTTGCTGCTATTTTCAAATATCCATTAATGTAAAAATGTCCACAGCTGTATATTGGTTATTGGTTCTCCAGTTACACAGAATTTATATTGTAAAAACACTTGCTAGGTACAGTATTTTATTTTTTTGAACTTTTATGTTATTTGTATACACTTTTCTAAGTCCACATTTGTTTGACCATTTTTACCATAATCTTTTTGATGCTAACACCCAAATTTCCCCATTGTGGGACAATAAGGGGATTTTCTATTTGATTCTATTCTAAAATCGAACACAGTACTTTATGTTGCACTGTTAAAAGATATGATTTTTCAAAAGTCTTGAATTCTGTATAACAAAAAATAAAATAAGAGAGAGTGACCAGCAGCATTTGCTGATAGCCTAAAGAGGCACCAGCATGCCATGTTCAGTTATTCTGTCAAATCTGAGCACCTCTAATAACCAAAAACCCCAGCAGATGGTGCTTCTTGAGAAATGTTTGAAGAGGTCAAAGAGTGTGTGAGCTGAGCTCCACAGTAACCTCACAGATACAGCCTCTGGGCACAGGTGGCAGCAAATATGAAACTGTGATAAGCAGTAAAACCTGACTGCTGACAAAGAACGTGCATATGTCTAAACCAGTAAACTGAATGACTCACAAAGATAAGTAAAGAGCTTGGTTCAGTTTCTACTTCTGTAAGAAGTTAAGCAACCAGCAGCTAAAGGCCTCTAAAAGAAGTCCTCACCCCCTTTCATCTTTAATTATAAGGCTTTGGCAAGAAAGATTAACACTATTAAAAGATAACAAAGAAGAGTTATTAGACAAAAAATACATATATTAGTTTTGAGAGTATTGGTCACATTAGTTACATACTCTGATATATTAGAGCAAAGTACTGCTGTCCAAAAATGAAGGTCTCTCATTTTTGGTGACGTCTTTTTTTTCTTTGTATGTTGCCTTTAGAGTAATGCTGTTAGTAACTAAACAACCCTCTTTTGCCCCATGTTGCTACAGGACATTTTCACTTAATGACACTCCCTTACTGTCTTGAGTGAACAATTCTAACAAGGTCTTCAACTTTTGGGCAGTGTTCAAAAGGACAATTTACATCTCTAAGACAAAGAAACCTCAAGTGGGTTGACAGTTGGACATTCTCCGGCTGCTATCCACTGATCAAAAATTGCTTGGAAATACATTGAAAAGACGACATGATCCAAATGATATCTACATTTGGTTGAAAAGTGAAAAAAGAGATGTAATCAGTTTGCTTATTTGCCATATGTTTACTATTTGTATTTTTTGGATTTTGAATGTTTTGAATAAAAAAAAATGGGTCGCTGGTCTGTCGCAGGGCAACAAAGAGACACACAACCATGCACACACTCCAGTGTTTTTGTTGTTGTTGTTGTTTTTTATTGTCAATAAACTGTCACAAGTACAGAGCAATAAAATTGACTCTCTGTATTTAACCTATCCCCTTAGTGAGCAGTGAGCTGCAATTGTGCGGCACCTGAGGAGCAGTCTGGGGGTTAAAGGTCTTTCTCAGGGAGCCGGAGTTGCACTCCATGAGAGTGGGGCAAACCTCAGGATTCCAAGCTCAACCTAACCACTAGACCGCCACTCCCCAAAGCAGACATTAGCATGAAGGGTCTTGCCTAAGGACCCACATTGGATGCTCATTCCCCCCCAGCTTGAATATGAACGGGTGAATTACCCCTTGAGCTAGTCAGCCACTAGCTCACACTGAAGAACAATTTAAAGAAGCCAATTAACACAACAGTCATGTTTTGGGACTGTGGGAGGAAGCCAGAGTATGGGAAGAACATGCAAAATCCATGCAGAAATACACCAAGCCAGGAATCAAACTCAGAACCTTTTTGCTGCAAGGCCAGAGCTACCCACTGTGGCACCATGCAGCCCCCAATCATACACTGCAAAAATAATCTAAAAATGAGTAAAAATGTTAAATTAAGTGTATTTACCCTTAATTTGAGCAGCTAAATAAGATGATTTGCCAATGGAATGAGTATTTTTACTCTTTAAATAAGATAATGTAATAATATGCACTTAAAGTAGGACAATGCAATTGTATTTTCTTATTTTAAAGCTACAGTGTGTAATAATTACAGGCATATAAAGTCAGAAATTTAATATATTATACATAACTATGTTATTTATCATCACCTATGAGCTCAGCCTTTTAACCATAATATTTGCGTTGCTTTAGAATTCGTTATTTATAATTACATAGGAGCGGGTCTCGCAGCCATGGAGGCAGACATCTTTGCGCTACGGCAGCGCAGAGCCAACAAACTAGCGACTGCGAGATCGCCCATTATGCTCGAAAGTAACTACGGCAAGTTGAGAGAGATTAACTGAGACGGTACTGAACAGTAGATGGCAGTATTATGCCTGAGAAGCGTTTAGTCTGCCTGAAACCAAAGAAGAAGAAGAAGCAGGTATACTGCGCCTCAGTAACAAGAAAGGTGAACAAGGCGGCAGGCATGAGGGACTTTGCAAACTGTTTGGCACTGTGTGGCCAAACATCAGACGAATGGAGGATCATGCCTACTCTGTATCACAACGAAAAGCGGCGGACACCGAAACCCCGTCATCTAAGAAGCGGAAACACGACGAGAATAAACGCAAGCGTGACAAGAAACGACAAAAAACACGGATCAACATTGGCACGGCATTTACACGATGGAAGTCACTGATGGAGGAAAAAGGTTTTCAAAGTGACGCTCAAGTTGCCAGTTTTCTCTTGGACAGGTAATTAATCCTACACACACAATTGTCTAATATCACTGCAGTTTTTGGAGTACAGGATGCTCAGACCTGTCTAAAACAATAACATGCTGCGTGATGATGCTGTTACTCTCCAGTATACTTATTCAGCAACGTCCCTGACGTTTTACAGGTAATGATTCAGTAATTATCTGTAAAATAATTTTCTGGATATATACCTCGGTTACTTCTCTCCGGCTCCTTTGGAGATCTTCAAGCCTTTCCTCCTCTGCTCTAGTCACCCCGCTGGCACCTCTCCCTCGCCTGGCCCTGGCTGCACGCCCACCCCAGCCTCTCTGCCCTCGCCCTCTTCCTCGCCCTCTTCCTCTCCCTCTTCCTCGCCTTGTAACCCCCGTGCCACAAACAAGACTTGGACTCTGTAAACGGGGAATATATATTCTTCCAGCGAACACAATCTCACTGTTAAACTACGACGTCGTGGAAGACATTTTGTCCCGTAACGCTCGCCCTACTGTTGGGGGGGAGAAGCGGTGGGGGGGAGACGTTCATGTTGCTGCAGTCTGCAGTCTGGACGTTAGATGTCGCTGAAAATTACACACTGTAGCTTTAAATGTACATTGTCTTGTTCCATTGGCAAAATGTCTCTTTTATCTCCTTAATTCAAGAACAAATGAACTTATTTTAAGAAGCAATTACTTATCTAGATTTTGTTTTTTTCCAGTGTAACAATGCTTTGGCATTTAAAAGCTCAAAAAAACACTTAAATTTTTCTTAACTAATATCACAAGTATGTTTTGTTATTGATAAAATGTCTAATTGCTTACTGTAATTCTACTACAATCATGAGTTATTGTACTTTTTAGTTCACTTGAACTGCATTTGATCAGATGGTTAAGCTCTCTGGTGTGGTATCTTACGATAATGTAAGGCGAACTAAGCCCTCTGCATTTGACCAGATAGCTTAGCTCTCACGTGCGGTTGTATCTTGTGATAAGACAACCAAATGTCGAAAAAAGGTCCTGTTTGCAGCAATGCAGTCTTGCAAAAACAAAAGCACCATCAACCAAATAATAAAAGAAGTTCATATAATTAGCACTATACAGATTATCATAATTCCTTTTAAAGTGAAAACAAACAACCAGCCATTTTGGATAATCTATTTACCTTAGTCAATATAAACAGTCAAAACCAGAGGTTTATAAATTCTAGGGTTAAAAATAGTTTACAGTGAGATGTACCTTCTGTGAAACTATGCCCTTTCAAGATTTACAGAAATAGTCATATGAAACTTGTTGTGGGAACTGTGAACTGCAGCACGTTGGTGTTAATCGGGTTGAAGTGGTTTTTCTTTAGAAAAACATCTTGAAAAAACATATGTGGGAATGAAAATACAAATTGAGCTTGTGAGAATTTTTGAATTTAATCTCAGTTTTCTTTTCATAGCAGGCAAAACATGAAAACCCCTTTTTTTTCTCTTTTGTTATTTGTTATCTATGTTCTCTATGTTTGTCACATATAAGTTCAAAGATTAACAAATTAATGTGGAGTAAATTTGTCAGACATTTTCGGCAAAGTAGGATTTGTAAAAAAGGAATGATATCTGCAAAGATTTATTCCATTTTGTCTTTCTGTCACATCCAAATTTTCACTTAGTATTTTCAACATTAATATTCAGGACCCAGTTTCCTGTATGTTATAGGTGTTTTCTTTGCTTAAACACATCTTGTTTAGATTAATAAGTGATCACAATGCTTCTGTAGAACTGATTGTGCAGTTGAGGAGATAATGTAGTTTAAATCAGGTCAGAATATCTCTAATCATTAAGGCCATTTAAGCCACATTTGAATTGCCATATTAGATTATTGCCACATACTTTCCTGATAGTGCTGGCAGTTAGGAAGGAACTAGGAACAGAAAGCATGTCATCCCTAGAAACTGTACAGTTGTCTACTTAGCATATTCACTGGAAAAAATTTAAATCTCAATAAGTCATTTTTTCTTCAAATAAGGGCATTTTTGTCTTGAATTGAGGAGGTAAGTGTAACACTTTGCCAATGAAACAAGGCAATTTACATTTCAAATAAGAAAAAACAATTGCACAATTGTCTTATTTCAAGTGCATATTATCTAATTATCTTATTTTAAGAGTGAAAATACTCATCCCATTGGCAGATCATCTTATTTTTCTACTCAAATTAGGAGTAAAAA